CTACCTGTCTCCTAGTCCCCTGGTACTCTTGGCAGGGAATGTGTCCTGTAGTTGGGTTCGTTCCCCCAGAGCGTGGCATACGTGCAAGGGATTGCCCAGGGAGCAGGGCCAGGAGAAAGGAGGAAGCTGCCCTGTCTGGGCCCCTGGCTGAGAGAACTTTGATTATCTAAAGGTGCTTGGGGCTTTGGAGCCATCTCTTCCCTGGAAGCTCTTATCCCAGTTGGTGAGCTTAAGCATAATTCCCTCAAACGTAGTTTTGTAGGTTTGCATATTGAGTGGCTTGGAGGAACCTGGTATTCTAAATTTAGTTGAATGATGACAGGAATCTTGATGGCAAGATGGAGCCGAGTTAGCAGCGGAGATAGGAGAGGCAGATACACAGCAGGGCCACGCTGGCTACGTCCTGCCACGGCACGATAAGGGGAGCAGAGGTGTACATACTTGGCACGTCTTTCATCGCCAGATGAAAATGAGCTCAGCTGCTTCACAGGTGATTTCATTATCTCTTTATTTCCAGAAAAGAATTTGAAAGCAAAAAAAGTTTCCATTAAGGTGTGTGCAATGTAAGCTTGAGCAGTTGCTTTACCTCTCTGCACCCCAAGTTCTCTCCCTGTCAAACAATAATAGGACCTGCCGTAGAGGTTTGGGGAGTGGCAGATGCACTTGTTTGTGTAAATACTGGAGTGATGTTTGCTTGGCACATGGCGCAGGGGTCATGGAAATGTGCTAAGTCTGCACTACCGGACACAGTGGAGCCCATGAAATGAGGATAACATGACTGAGGAAATTTTAAATTTAACCCACCACATGTGGCTCTAGTGACTACTGTATGCAGTGCCCTTATAGGGGATATTGATAATATCCTAATGATTGTATGGTTTTCAAGATGGTTGTTCTCAGCAGAGACCTTGATGATGACACTGGTGTGAAAAGTGGAGTTTATTACACGTCTGTGTGACCCAGGATATTTAAGGTGAAGGAGGAGGTTCTCTCTAAAGTGCAACATGATCATGTTTAGAGGGACTGCGTTTGTGGGGGTCTTTCTAGGAGAGGGAGACAGCCTCGTGATAGGTGAAGGCAGGACTATGAACAGGGCTCACGTTTTGTCTTTGCTTCATACCAGCTGTGTGACTTGAGCCTCAGTGTTTTCATCTGTAAGGTGAGGGTCAGGATACCCACCTGCCTACCAGGGCCGAGCGCGCTGCCCCGTGGGGTGTCCTGCACGCTGTTTGGGCTCAGGAAGTGGGAGCTATGGCTGGTTTTCACATCCTGATGGGAATAATATCAGAAATTGAATACATAATCACTGTCACATGCTACTACTTCAGTTGGAGAATTTGATTACTATTTTATCCCGATCAAATACCGTGGATGCTGATGTGATTACTCTAGATGCTGTGTACATTTGTGCTTTTTGGCTTGTAAACATTTTTGATGATTAGAAGGAGGGAGAAAACCTCTGAAATGATCACTCTGTGTGACATAATTCAGGTAAGAACAAGTAGGCCTGTGACAGTGGCTATCATCTCACGCACACCTGTGTTGTCTGCAAAGATTGGATATCTAGAAGTTGGTAGAGCATAACTTTTTTTAAAGGAAGAGTTTTGTTGCTAACCATGAACAGACTGTCTTCTTGACGCCATAACATTTTTATTTTATTATAATGATTTGTTATGTCATATTATTTTCACTTACAAATGAAGTGACAAACATAATAAGACTAATGAACGAGTGGGAATGCTGACCTAGCTGCCTCCTTAGAGCCTGTCCCTTTCTTCTCCCAGATGTGACATTTGCTGTGTCACCTTCCGGACACATAGAGGATTGCTACGCCACAATGCGCTTGTCCACAAACAGCTTCCCAGAGACGCAATGGGAAGGCCTTTCATCCAGAACAACCCTTCCATTCCTGCTGGCTTCCACGACTTAGGATTCACTGACTTCTCCTGTAGGAAGTTTCCTTGGATTTCTCAGGTATGCTGATTGACCAGCAGACCCGGAAGCTACCACCTTCACGGTCTGCATAGTTGGACTAAACTTCCTCACCCTGAGGTTTCCTTTCCTTAAAGTGTTGTCCGTTGGGCTTTGTCTTTTTTTTAATAACAGCTTTTCTCTTGAAATCCAGCTTGGCCCTTTTAGTCTTTATTGGATTGTTGGGTCGGTCAAGAGGTGTAGGTGGCCTTTTATTTTGTGTTGAATATCACACTTGCACCTGAGTCTAGCTCATCAATACTTCTGCCCGTTCTTGGGGCATCTGGATTTAAAGTTGTGAATTGTTGGCCACNTTGACTCCATTCCAACATTATACACCACATCCCATGACTATATATGTATTAAATTATAGTTGGCATATAATAGTATTCGACGGCAGCTTCAGATGTACAGTGCAGTGGTCAGGCCTCTACACCATCTATGAAGTGGTCTCTCCACTGACTCTTAATCTTTGATGTGTATACTTGCTCCCATCCCATTTTAGGTACTTGGGGAAGATTGTTTGGGAAACAGGCTTCAGTCATTGGTTATCAGGGCTGATTCCTTTAATGGTGACAGTTATTCCTGATAAGCACCTGTTAGCCTACTGTGGGCCCTCAGAACTGCTGGCTGTCCTCAGGGCTTCTCATACCCTGACCCCTGCACGCAATGCATGCCCACGCCATAAGAGCACATCTGTCACACCGCAGCTCTACCCCAGCCCCAAATGGTGCTGGTTTCTTTTAGAAAAGGAAAGAAAAGAAAAAGAACTGATACCGTGGTGCCCTGCCTCATTAGGCGAGTTGTGGTACATTTCAGTTCTCAGTTCAATGACTTTAAAACTTCAGCTTTTGTTTTTTTAAGACTAGCGGACCTGGCTATGAACAAGAACATCATTCATTTGCAATAAAGTCCTTTGAGAATTGAAAGGACAAACCCTCAGTTAAGGAAGGAGAGTATTTCCTTGGCCTTCCAGAGCTGGCTTGTTCCAGCCCTTACCTTGCCGTCCCTTTGCCTGTGGGAGCCAGAGGCAGAGGTTGAGGGCACTGGCTGGCGGGTTGGGTCTCTCTGTGGCTTCAGAACCAGGGCAGTTGGCTGTTCTTGTGGGAGTCAGACTTCTCTGACCACCTTAACAATGGACTCTTTCCAGCCCAGCCAGTCTCAAGGCTGGAACCAGTGTGCTATGGGATTTTGCTCGTTTGTCTGATTTCCAAAGGAGAATGGACACAAGGCCTCAAATATATGTTGAAGGCTCTCTCTGATCATGCTGCCTCCCTCTGGCCCCCGGCATTGGCAGCCCCCATTCCTGCCATCTGTCCTTTGTATACCAGGGGCCACGGTGGAAACTGGGCTCACTGCACTGCATGCAGCTGGGAGGCATTTCCCTGCCCCGGAACCCCACCTCAGCTCTCTGCTGTCTGTGCTTCACATCTACTGGTGCCCCTTCAGTGACATTACAAGTGGTGCTAAGGGAGGCAGGGAAAGAGATAAGCTGCAGGCAGCTGCTTTTCCCCACTGCTGCTCAAGAGAGCCCGACTCTGCATGCCCGAAACGACAGCTCCTTTCTTTCCACCCACCCCTAACAGAGCTCACTAGATCCCGGTCCCGGTCATAGGAACCACCATGATGGAGCAGTCCTGCGAGAAGCAGGACCCCGCAGATCAGGGGCTGGGATGTCACATGTGGGCGAGTGGGGAGTGCTAAACTCTAGTATTCTCAATTCTGTTACTCTTATAGAAGCATTTGCTAACATGTACTGGAATTCGGGTTCTGGGTGAGATAGGCACTGGTGAACTACCTTGGGGTACAAAAACACCATCTCTGTGAGCAGAATGATTTGGTGTGATCATCCTTTTGTAACTTGAGGACAGGCTGAATGTGCCCACATTAGCATTCGTCCCTGTGTTTCATGTGTGATCTCACCTTTACTTCAGTTGGCCTTTGCAGTTTTTCTACTGATGAATTTTTGTTTTCCTTACACGAACGTATTTGTATTTGCATTTCAGTATGTGATTTAAAAAGAAAGCAAGCAAGTTTTGTTTTTAGAAGAGTCGATGAGGTTCTATTAGCTTGTTTAAGTCCTACAACTATTAATAGACACACTTTGTCCCAAATGTATTTGTCTTACAGCGAAGCTAGTTTCCCCTTGGAGAAGTTACCCTCCGTTTCCAACAGAGGGCCAGCTCTGGTGCCAGAACATCAGAAAGCAGCCTCTTAGGTTTGTAAAATTTCCCTCTGGCACATTGTCAAAAATCACTTGCAAAATGAAATCGCCCTGCAGTGCTCCCCTCTCCTATGATACAGTTCTACTCCATCAAAATATTTTGCAATCATTCTGTTCACAAGTTCCCGGCAGAGTTGAGAGATCCCCCAATTGGGAGTAAGGGGAGAGTTGTGGGGGCCACCAGACCAATGGCTATGGCCTTAAAGAAGATTGACAGGCCCATGTGAAGTTAGCAATTACCCCAGGATGGATGGGTGCTGCACAGGCCCTGCATCCAGCAGCATTGCTTACAGATTTACAATGACCTTCATTATCCTTGAAGAGCTGCTTAGAAACAAAGTTGCAAAGCATTCTTCCTGGGGCCTTGGGAGGGCTGGTTGAACCAGAGTGTCTCTGGCTGGCAAAGGCCAATCCAAATGTTCCTGGGTGATGGGTTTCCATGCTGGTTTTATTTAAGGTCTGTCAACAGCTGCGGAGTGTGAGATGGGAGGCACTGTTTTTCTGTGGGTGTTTTTTTTTTTTCTTCTTTTTTTCTTTTTTCTGTCTTGTTCTTTTTCTTTTTAACCAGACTCACTAGGTTGCTTCTGGTTTCAAAGCAGATTTTTTTTTCTCTGCCACTTTCGAGCTGCTTGTTTGGGAGATGATATTGTATATCTTCATAGAAGTGAAACAGGAGAGCGCCTTGCTTGAAATCCCATGAAAACTGAGGTGTGAAGTTGTAGATCTAGGGCCTCATTTAGACGTTATTAGAAGGCTCTGAGTGTGTGTGCGCGGACTGGGAAGGTACACGCTTCTCTTGGGGAGCTGTGGCTCCAGGAAGGGTGGCGGGGGTGGTGAGGACGCAGGTGGTGTATGTAGGACAGAGGGCTCACCAGAAGGAACACGAGCTTCTCCCCACGAGTCTGAAGATTAAACACTAGATAGAGGTAGAGATGACTGGGAAGTTCTTGATAGTGAAAAGAGCGAATGCATCCTTTTGAAATTAAAATTCCATTTTCCTGCATTTTCAGTTTACTCTCATTGTCAGGAAATGAACTGTTCTTGATTTTGTTGTTGTTGTTGTTGTTATTGCTAACAATATAAAAAAATGGTTCAATTTGGAATAGCACCTTGCAGTTGTCCAAGCATTTTGTTATCTGTTGTTAGTCACAGTAACTCTAAAGATCCCCATGTTATAGATTAGAAAGAAAACAGGCTTAGAGAAAGAAGGATAAAGAGCTCTCACAGGCTTGTAGCTTAAGGTGTTTATAGATTCAAGATCCTCTCACTTAATTGTCACTATAATTTGTTTTCCAAACTTATCTAACTATGAATTGCCTGGTGTGCTTGTTGTTCACATACAGATTCCTGGGCCCATTCTGTAGTGACTTGGATTCTGATTTCTTAACAAGGTCATGAGGGGATTCTTAGCTCAGGCATGTTTGGGAAATTTTACATAGCAGGCAACCGAAATACAGATGAAATAAGTCGTCCAAGGTCACACAATCTGAAGTTCCCCTCCCAGTGTCTCTGGTCCCCGGGCCCATCCCCCCACTGCTCTGCAACTGCCTCTCACAGAGGACACTGGTTTGACGCTGGTTCCTTCTGCCTTGTGTTTACTGAGCACCTTGTCAGTGGGAGACATAGAGGAGGAGCTAAACATGTAGAAATAAGTGATGAAAATGTGATGTTATTCAAAATTGATTGCTACCGTAGAAGCACAGCAAATTCTGATCTGTTAGGAGAGACTCTTCGTTGTTTTTGTAAAACCTATTTATGATGTCCCTCACAGAGAGTACTTATGGCCAGTAGGCTGTGCACTAGTCTCAAATGGGAGGGTGTTCAGAAAGATCTCGGGGGTATAAGAAAGAAATTACAGAACTTTCTTTTTCATCTCGCCCTTTACAATTTTCTGTTTTTGTATTTATTGATATACCTGGCATGTTACATGTGTGTGCAAATATGTGGGTGTGTATAAATACGTATCAGGCACAATACATATTTCTCAATTAAACAGCAAACAAATACGGGACGCATGCTCAGAAATGTTTTCATAACAAAGTGTCATATAGTTCACAATGTTTGCAGCCCACTTCTTAGGTCCACCTGCTCACTTTTTACAGCTGACTTACGTGCTACCAAAAGTCCATATTATTTCTTCCCAACCTGTGTGTGTCACTGATACTGTCTTTATTTGCTATAATTTCATTAAATTTTATATAAACCAATGAAGTATTATTGCTTTTTTTTTTAAAGAATGATGTCTGTGAAAACTGAGTTGGGTAGACTTGTTTATAATCCACATTGGACAGTTTTTTGGTTTTTGGTGTGTTTGTTTTTTTGTGGGGTTTTTTTGTTTGTTTGTTTTTTTGCTGTCAAATTAAGGGGTGGGCAAGATGCTGATGAACAGTTGACAGAAATAATCATAAAAATCTAGGATTCTGGTTTAGTTTGGTTTGCAAAAATCTAGGTTCTTGCTCTGCCTTAAAGAATCTAAAACTGGAAGTCAAAGATGTTATGAGTATGATTCATGCAACAGTGACACTGGAACTAGACTCTAACATGAGCGGGCGAGTGAATGTCCAGCCAAATCTTGTTACACACAGTAGCCATGTTCCGTAAAGTCATTGTGAACACAGACCGCTGGCCCGTTGTTCCTAGGGAAACGCAGGGTCACAACACTCTCATCAGCTCATCACCAGTACATAACTTTGTGTTGTGTGTTTCTGTGTAAAGGCACTTTAGTTAATAAAGACTATCGATTCATTCACGTTGAACTCACAGCCACCAGCACTGCAAC